GGAGGCTGGAGGGAGCAGGGCGGGGGCAGTGCCGCTGGCCGCCGCTTCCTCTGGGACAGGGCCCTTCCTCCCTGAGTCATCCGACCTTCTGTCCCCTCTCTGGTCTGGCTGCAGGGTCTGCTGACAGCTGAATGGCCTCTTGACCAGAGGGAAGAGAAACAGCCCCTTGCCTTTGCCTGTGGCACGGGGGGCATTTGCCCTGCACTGGCGGCTCGGGGGCGCGGGGTGGCAAACAAGAAGGCAGGCTCAAGAGAGAGCCCTCTGGGGTCCCTAAGCAAAGTCTGCCGTTCCAGGGTCCCCAGAGCCTGGCCGTTGGGGGTCGTGTGTGGATGTGGCAGGTGCCATCCTTTCTGTCACCTTCCCCAAGCCTTGGGAGTGTGGTCAGCCCAGTGGGCTGCAGGGTGAGCCGGGAGGACGCAAGCAGCTCATGGAAAGCGGATACACCCTTGTCCGGGTCCACCCCGCCTCTCCCTGCACTTCAGATCTGGTACCCACGCTGGGCCATCCTCCCCGCAGGAGCTCCTTAGAGCTTGGGGCCGGTCATCCTCAGGAATGGGAGGTGGGGCACGGGGAGTCAGCCCCTGGGTCACAGCACGGGGCGGGGCGCTCCCCTCCAGGTTGTCCCTGGCCCCTGAGTGTGGCTCTGTGCAGGGCGCCTGGTCTTGGAGGTTCTGGCCCTGCTCTGCTGTCCCCTGAGCCATGCCAGCTGGGTCTCAGGCTGGGTCCCCACGGGGTGGGCAACACTCCCACTCGGTGGCTCAGCCAAGGCCAGGCCGCTGTGGCAGTAAGTGCCGTGAGGCTGTGTAGCCTGCAGAGGGGGGCTGTGTGGGCCTGGGCTTTGGGGACCCCCCACCCTGCTCTGGGGCCTGCGTGGCCTTGTGGAAAGGAGGACGAGGGCCTGTGGAGGACGGGGTGCCTTCTCTGGGCGTGAGGACCCCGTGGCATGTTTGGGGGAAAGCAGATTCTGAACTTGATAACCACGTGAGTGGGCTTCCTGGCAGCGTCCCAGAGGGCTCAGGTTTCCATGGAAGCATGGGTGAGGCTTCAGAAGGGGCTGATTGGGGGGTGTCTGCAGGGGCAGCTTATGGACCCCGGCATGAGCCCCTGGCCCAGGAGCTGGTGGAGCCTCCATGGGCTCCCAGCAGCATCGAGTTAGGCTGCCCAAAGCACGACCTGGGGAGTCAGCCTGGTGTTGGCTTGGACCCGCCTGCTCCTGGCTCCTCCCTGTGCCGGCGTGAGCTACACCGGACGTGTGGCGGCTGGGCCTCAGGCTGGAGAAGGCAGAGGGGGTTTGCACCCGGCTATTATGCCTGGTTTCACTGGGTCAGCATGGGAGACTCGGGACCTTCAAGCTCTCTTTCAGCTTGGGGTCGGGGGGTGGGACCCAGGCCCCCCTCTGTGCTGTCTGGGGGAGTGATGTTTTCTCTGTAGTTCCAGGGCCTAAGGTGTCAATGCTCAGTTGGGGCCCTGCCGTCTGGGGTCTCAGGGCACTGGTCCCACAGCAGGAAGCACCAGGTGTAGGCAAGTTGGCTCGGCCGGAGAGAGCAGGCCTGCAGGGCAGGCCCTGGGGAGGGCATCCAGCCCCCAGAGAGCACAGTGGACCTCACTGGGGGAGTCAGGTCGGGCTGGCCAGAGGCCCCGTGTCTTCCCACCTCTCTCTCCCTGACCTCTTGCCCCCTCCTTTAAGGGCCCCATGGTGACACTGGGCCCACCTCGAGATCCTTGACTCTAGGGATTAGGATGTGAACCCTTTGGAGGGCCGTTATTCAGCTGACCCCACTCAGACCGCTGAGCCTGTGGCTGTCAGGTCACAGCCATGGCCACGGCCATGGTCACAGGGTCAGCAGCTCCAGGTGTGTGCAGTTGGCTGAAGACAGCTCTGCCCTGCCCCCACGTGGCTGCCTCTGGAGTGGGGCAGGCAGGGTTAGGGAACTGGGTCCCGCCTTGCTGCCCGAGTGTCTGTCTCCTCCGTGAAGGGGCTCCAGCAGGAGATCAGGTGGCCAAATGCCCTGCTGCCCTTCAGCAGGCTTCCCTTGCCCAGAGAGGTGAAGGGGGAGGCCTCAGGTCCTTCAGCCTTGAGCTACCCGCCGTGTCCAGATACCCACACGGGCTGACAGCGCTTGGTGGCGCTGGAAGTGGGGGCTGAGCGTCATTGCACCTATAGCCGGGCTGCTGCTCACAGATCCTGTCCCCGCCAGAGGCAGGTTGCTGATCACCAGGCAGTGCAGCCCCAGGGGCCAGAGGAGAGCGTGGGGCTGCGGTCAGCGCGTCAGCCCCTCCCGAGAGGGGCGCCGTAGGAGACGGCTTGCAGACCTGGCCCTGCGCATCTTAGCAAGGAGCAGCATTTCTGTCCACTGGTGTGGACACTTGGGTCTGAATGTTCCTGTGCGGGCAGCAGGGGGGCCAGAACAGTGGTCATGTGGGCAGGGGGTGTGAGCCAGGGCGGGAGGCCCCGGCTGTCAGGGCAGCCCAGCTGGAGGGGCCCTGCTGGCTGACGGCAGCCTCCTGCCCCTGCATTCCCCGAGTGCTTCTTCCCAGATTGTCTGTCCATTTGGTGTCCTTGTGGCCCACAGGCCTGCTGGGCTGGCTGAGGGGCTGATGCTGTCCGGGGCTCCCCTTGCGTCCTTGGACGGCTTGCTCAGACCTGCCCGGGAGCTGCTGGAGGATGTGGTCTTCCAGGTGGGCTTGGCCGCCCAGCCAGGGGTCCGAGCGGCTCAGGGGTATAGCGCTGCCTGAGCCAGCCTCTCTCCTAGCTGGGGGTCTGGAGTGAGCCGAGTGTGAATGTAGGGCTGCCGGAGGAGAGCCGGGTTTCCAGAAGCAGCGCCCCTGCCTGCCTGCGCACCCGGCCCCGGGGCCACGTCAGGAGCCCAGCGGAGTGCCAGAAGGACGCCTGGCAGGGCTGGTCTGGACACTGCGGCTGCCGTCCATCCCCCCCAGACAGCACACACCTGGCGCATCTTCCCCAAAGCTTCGCTAAGCACCTACTGTGTGCCCAGGGCTGTGTCCCCTGCGGTCTCGTCTTTACCTCTTCTCAGTCCCCGTGGGGGGATGCTGCCCGCCCTCCCCTTCCATCCGCTCCCCACCAGCTGACTCTCCCGCAGGAGGGCCCTGGATCCCTCTGTGCCCCACCCCCCTTGGTGGCTCTGCTGGGGGCCTTTGACCTCTGCCTTCAGGCTTCTTCCCGAGAATCACCCGGTTCCATTCTGAGAGCTCCAGGCTGCCACGGGCAGAAGAGAGCCTCCCTGGGTGTTCGGTCTTCTCTCTGAGGCGCTTGGCAGGGCCCCAGGGGTCTCCCCGGAGTGGACCTGGCCTGTGTGCGCAGAGGCCCTGGCCTCCTGGGATTGGTTTGGTGTCATTTCTGGGGCGCCAGAGGCATGGTTCCCGTGCGTGTGGGAAGCATAAACTCATGGGCAGGCATTGGGGCTGGCGGGGGGATCCTCGCCCTGTGGCCCACCTTTGGCACTCTTCACAAGTGGGCTCAGATGGCCCGCATTTTAGGATGGAAGCATGGGAGCTGGACATTTTCACGGTGGGAACTGGAGAATGGAGTCGTGGCTTGTAGATGTTGGAGTGGAGCGTCTGTGTGTCTGTGGTTGGGGAGGCTGGCTACTCCGTTGGTGAGGCTGGTGTCTGAAGAGTGTGGACTAGCCCGAGGCCTGGGCCTGGGCTTCCATCCCCATGCCTGGCGCGCCAGGGCCCCCCCTGTGTCTGCAGCGGCTCCCCCCTTGGTCTCCGTGTCTCCCGGATAGTCGTGTCCCTTGCACACAGGTGTCTCAGCAGCCAGTTCCAACCACCTCAGTCGCCTCCCAGCCTCCCCGGGGGCCCAGGTTGGTGGACGGAAGTCTGGAGGGAGGGATGAGAGGTGAGGGCAGCCCCCACCTTCCCTATGCCTCTGCATTCCTCCTGGAGGAGGTGACCCTCCTGGGGTGCAGGCCCGTGGGCCTCCAGCTCTAGGGAGGGTCTTTCTGCCTCTCCAGTTCTCAGCTGGGCTCCTGGGGTGGCTACCCAGGGCCTTTGGGCTGGCCTCATCCACTTCTGGTCAGCACGTTCCCTGGGGCCTGAGGTGCGGTGGGCATGGGTGTCCTGCCCTGGTGGTCGGTGGTCTCAGATGGGGGGTGTTCTCCCGGAAGTGCCTGGGTCCTGTCTGGGGGATGCTGCTGGTGGTCTCCCGTCCCCCTGGCATTGGGAGGCCCTGGGGGGACCCAGGCAGACATCACCCGCGTTAGTTCTCCGGGACAAATACGACAGTAGACGTTTATTCTCTGACTGTTTTGGAGGCTGTGCCAGCAGCTCCCTCTGACCCTTCCTTCTCTTGTCCTTCCGACCTTGCGTGGCCCCCGTTGTTCCTTGGCTGTGGCCACCTCATTCCAATCTCTGCCTCCCTGTGTGTCTTCTATGAGGACCCTAGTCGCTGGATTTAGGGACCCCCTTATCCAGCATGGATAACTAATTACATCATCATCTTAAGGTCACATTCTGAGGCTCTGGATGGATGTTAATCTGGGGGACATTGTTCAGCCCTCCTACCCCCCTGCCAAAGCCTGGGCAAGGGCATTTCATGAGTTACTGGTTTTTCCTTTTGGACTCTTGGGTCCTAGAGAAACGGCTGACACCGTCCTGAGAGTATTTCTGGATTTGGACTTTGGAATTGAGCGTGAGCTCCAAGTTCAGTCTTGAAAGGCGTGAGGAGCTGGGCCTCTCCCCACCTCAGCCCAGTGCCCTCTGCAGCCCCTACATTGTCCAGACTGCCGCTCCCTGCATTCTCTCTGACCCCCAGGGCTCCCCACATTCTGGCCACCCCCAAGGTGGCGGTCCTGCCCCCCGAGCAGGCTGGCCAGGTGTGAGGGGCAGGCCCCGCCTTCTCCACACTCTGTTCCGGGCAGCCAGCGTGGGCCTGGAGCTCAGAGCTCAGGCACCTGGGTGGGGTTCTGTGTCCTCAGTGAGGAGGCCTGGATCGGGGTCCCTGGGGCGGTTAACCTTGGCCCTGTGTCCCTGTCCAGATGTGGATGAGTGCCAAATGCACAATGGCGGCTGTCAGCACAGATGTGTGAACACACCAGGCTCCTATCTCTGCGAGTGCAAGCCCGGATTCCGGCTCCATGCGGACGGCAGGACCTGCTTGGGTAAGCGCCCGGGAGCCTTAGGTGTGGCTGGCCCCGTCCTGGGCCCTGTGCTACCTCCCTGCCTGGGCTCCTGGCCTCGGCAGTGCCCCCACCCTCCTGGCTGTGCCCACCGGGCTGGGGCTGGGGCCCCTGTCCTCCTGGACTAGGAGACCCTAGGGGGCCTGTCTGCTCAGTGGCTCTGTCCTGCTGAGTGTGTGCAGCTCCTTGGGGTTCTTGCCAGCCTGTTATGCGGCAGGTCTCCCCCATGGTGAGGCTGAACCCTGTGACCCTGGGATGCTGAGGCCATGTTCCTGGGGTGCCTCTCTTGGGGAAGAGCCTCTGGGCCCCCACACTATAGAGGGCCTTCTCAGCCGAAGCTGTGGTGGTGGGTGAGCAGGGTCCCAGGCCCGGGGACCAAACTCGGGAGCGATTTGGGTGCTTGCTGGGTGGCAGGGGAGGCTGGTGAGGGCAGGGGCAGGGCCAGCTTGAAGCCACTCTTGGCCTGCAGAGCTGGGGTTCCTAGGCCCAGGCCCCCCCACCCCAGCCTTGGGAAGCATAGGGGGCTGGGCTGTGGCAGGTGGGGGAGAGGTAGCTGAGAAGCAGGACCCCAGCCCTCACTTCTTCTGCAGGGCCTTTTTTCCATGGGAAGTAGACTTGATGGAGGTGCCCTGGCCACAGCCTGCTGTCCCTGCAAGCATGGAGGGTTACCGGGGGTGGGGGGAGGGGACGGTGCCAGGTGCCTGCTGAGGTGGAGGGTGGGGGGGCTGCAGGCCAGGGTCTGGTGCTGACCACTCAGCGCTCAGTCCCTGCCCTCCGTTGCCCCTCTCCTGGCTGGCTCTGGACGCAGGGGCCGAGGGCACAGGGCTGCTGTGTATGGGGGGCCGTGTGGTGGTTGTTCTCTGGGGGGCTGGGGGCAGGATCCCCCTCGTTTCCACCCTGGAGACAGGGAGTGGGCCTGGCAGGCTCGGAGTGGCCTCATTCCTGCTCGCCTTGCTGCTATGTGGCAGGGCGGCCCGCCAGCCCCGGGGGGCCCTCCGGGCACACACTCTCACATGTCCGGGCGCCCGCAGGGAATGAGGCAGCTACTCCGCAGTTTCTCCGGGTCGGGAAGTGGAAACAGATGTGGGAAGTGTTGTAATGTGCTTCCAGACAAATCTGACGGGGTTGTAGCCCCCAGCTGCTGCCCTCTGGGGGCTGGGGGGGCGCTTCTGGGACCCCGCTGGCTCACCCGGGCCCCTGGACATCCTGGAGAAGGGTGTTGCTGGGGGCTGGTCCAGGGTGGGCTGGGCCAGGCCTGGGGGCTGCCCACTGCCTCCTCCCTGCTGTGGGCTCCCCTGTGAGGGGCCTGGGGCTGGGACACACCTTCCCCTGTCTCTCTGGTCTCCCCATCTGCCGATGATGCCTTCCCTGAGGTGCTGGACGGCAGGAAGGCTCGCTGGTGATGGGTGAACAGCATGCAAAGGGAGGGGCGCCTTCCTGGGACAGGCTGTGGCCCCTGAGAGTGGCCTTAAGCTACTGGCTGTGGGAAGTTCCGGAGGGGTGCCCCCAGCCTTGCCCCGGCCCCCAGCCCACCCCCTGCTACACTGGAGCTCTTCCCAGGAGCCTTCCTTGCGTGTGCTCTGGGCTCCAGAGGTCTTGATTTGTGGCATTGGTTTATTTTAAAGGTCTCTTTGGGGTCTGATGCCAGGGCTCCTGGGCATGGTGTGCACAGCCTGGCAGGAGGCTGCTGGGACCTCACGGCCCCTCTGCCCGGCACCCCCAATACCATGCACCCAGGCGGGCCCCAGCGGCCTCCAGCTCTCTCGGTGCTGGTGCCCACTTCCTGGCCACTCCCCATCGCTGGCAGTGGTTTTCTCAATGCTGGTGTTTGGCCTCCGTCTCTCTCTCTCTCTTGACTATAGCTCCCAGCAGGAAGTGCATACTTTGCCCCACTTGCCTACATACCCCTGGCTCTTTTTGGTGGCTTCTTTGTACCAGGAATCCCCGGAAGCTGACAGCTTGCCAGGGTGCAGGCTGGTGCCTGGGTCCCCCACAGGGGTCTGGGGTTGGGGCAGGTTTGTCAGGTTTCGTCCACTGGGAGCTGCCTTTCCTGGAGGGGCCTGGGCTTTGCTGAGAAACTTCCAGAGTGGATAGGGGTCTTCAGGGAGCTTCTTCGCAGGCAGAGTGGGAAGTGTTTGCCCTTCTTGCTGATGTACCCCTTTTGGTTGCTGGGGTACCTGCCCAGCCACAGTGGTGGCCAAGCATCTTGGGTTGTGGATGAGCGGCTTCCAGCTGGGGGCCTGGTGGAGGGCGTTGCTGGACCCTCCTCGGGCTCTGAGTGGTGTGGAGCTTGACGGACTTCCTGTCACTGAGAACTGTGGGGCTCTGTCCCCCTCTCCTCTGGGACTCCCAGGGTACAGGACATGGGGAGGAGCTGGGCCTTGTCCAAGGTTTCCAGGATGCCTTCTGAGCTCAGATCACCCTAGGGCTGCAGCTGATACTTATGGGAGAAATTAGTATAGGAATCCTGCCCCCCCCGCCCCCCCCACCCCGGGCAGCTGCGGGGCTGGCTGCACAGCTGGAATACAGCTGCTCGGGAACCTCCTCTGGGGCCTGCTGGGATCCTCTTCTGGAGGAGGGGTGCTGGGAGCTCTCCTGGGACTTTGCAGGCTGGCAGGAAACAGCCCCAGGCGCCCACTCCCATCCAGCCGCTGGGAGTAAGAATTACAGCGATGCTGGAGGTTGGGGTTGGAGAAGGAGTCCGCCTGCCCCCTGGGATATGACCATCGTTCCTGTGTTGCCAAGTCATGGGACCCTGAGGGATGTCAGAAGTCCTCAAAGGCACACTTGAGAGGGGGCCTTGAGACACACGAGGGGGCCGTGAAACACTTGTGGAACTTGCCTCCGAGGCAGGGAGAGGACAGGAAATGCACAGCTTTCTCCTTTACAGAAGATTTGGTAGAAATAAAACACAGAAAGGTTTCAATTCTTAAAAATGAGAATTTGCCAGAAGGATTTTGCCATCAGCCCGAGGCCCCTGAGCACCACCCACTTAGCCTGGGCCCCAGAGAAGCAGCAGTGGCCTGGCATCATGGGGCACTCCATTGCCAGGGAGCCTTCCTGGGTGTGTCCCCCAGCCTCTGGGGTGGGAAGAGCAGGGCCCAGCATTAGTCTGCCCTGCTTGTCACCCTCGGGTCATGGAGCTGGCCTCTTTCCTTTTCCAACTTGGGGCAGTAGGGCCTGGGAGTGCTTTGGTCAGGTGACGTGTTTAGGAAGGTCATTCTTGCTTCTCTGTGACATCTTGCAGAGTGCCAGCCTGTAAACCCACAGAGACCCGCCGCTGGGTGCTTTAACACTTGGTGCTGGGAAACCCACCTCCTCTGCTCAGCTGGGCACTCTGAGCCTGCAGGACACCTGCCCTGTGGTCCCTTCTGGATCCTGCTCTTAGACATGGATGCTTCTCCATGTCTCCTTAGGCAAGCAGTACACCAGGGGTCCCTATTAGGGACCACGGTATCACTGGCTCCACCGGTAGAGGGTCCCGTGTGATGCCCTGGGCCAGCCACTTGGAAGAGGTGGGCTCTCCATCCTCCCCTCCCCTTGGCCTCTGCTCCTATGGCCTTTTGGACTCACTTCTCCCCCCTCCGCCACAACACCAACACTTGGGGAGGATTCTGCTGTCGGAATGCACTCCCCACCGCCCTTCACCAGTGGCCAGATGCCCCCACCCTGGTTCCCTCTCCTAGGAGTCCCATGGGCCCTGTGGTGCCCACAGCATGGGGGAGGGGCTCCCCAGCTCTGCCTTTCTCTGGGCCTCGGGGCAGTCTCTTTCCCTGCCAGGCCGGGGGGTCTCCCAGTGAGGGGCCAGCGAGGGGAGGCCTGAGGGAGACCGCCTGGCCCTGCTGGAGGCCCCAGCATCTGGGGCTGGTGCCAAAGCCACAGGCAGCGGGAAGGTAGAGATCTCCAGGTTTGTCTCCAGACCCATCCCTGCAAAGCTGCACGTGCAGTTCTGAGAATGTTCTCCAGTGCCCCCCAAACCGTGAAGCAGGCTGCAGCTGCAAGAAAGCAGTGTGCCTTCCCAGCCCCGTGGGCGGCCCCTCCCCTGAGATGCCCCTGGGACGTCACGGCTTTGCCCAAGCCCAGGGGCCCAGCAGTGCAGCCAGCCAGTGCCCAGGGGTGATGGGATGGCCACCCTCCAACCCAGGGGGGCCAGGGGCAGCGGACACCCAGCAGGGAAGCAAGGGCAGACGGGGCCGTGCGGCGGGGAGGGTTGGAGCCAGGGATGGAGTTGGGCAGCTAGGCGGTGCGAACAGCAGCGGGGTGCTCATGCCTTTGCTTTACCCCGAGGCAGGCGGTGCTGGGCAGGCAGTTGGCACAGCCTGGGTCCTGGGGCCCCTGTCGTGGCTGTCTCTCCCTGGCTGGTGGGTGTGTGGCCTATGATGAGGCTGGTTCGGCCCCTGGCACGTGGGTGAGGGCAGCCACTTGCAGAGCCTGCAGCACAGGGGCCCCAGCCGAGGGTGGGGGACAGGACAGCACGCACAAGGCAGAGGAGCGGGCAGCCCATGCCTGGAGGGATGAGGTGGGCAGAGCCCCAGTGAGTTTCCTCTTCTGCCCTGCTGTGCTGGCCCTGTCCCCAAAAGAGGGCTTTCCAGAAGGAAGGACCGTGTGGGTGGCCTTGACCGCATGTGGTGGGAGGCTCTTGGGACCTAGAAATCAAGCTAGTCCGAGGACCGTAATTACCAAACCGCGTGAAGGCAGCGGGAACCAGAGCCACCCCTGAACCTGCCTGGAAACCACGGGGCTGGGTTTGGAGGCTGCAGCAGAGCCGACTGGTGGGCTCAGCATACTGCTGACGGCACTGCCCTCCCGCTGAAGCCAGGGCACAGCCCCTTGCCTTGCCCGCAGAGCGGCTCAGGGTCAGCCGTCCACTGTCCACCTGCTGCTTCCTCATGGCACTCGGATGTGCCTGGCCCTGGGCTCCCGCTCCACACCCGTGCCCGGGTCTCGGGGCTGCCCCTGTGCCTGCCCGAGCAGAGACCCTGGGGGCACAGGCAGGGCGCCCCCCCCCCCCCCGGGGACGTGTGTTTTCTACTGTCCGGTCTCCAGCTCAGGTAGGGCCCCATTGCCTTTGGGAGTGGACGCCTCGCCCGGAGGCCCCTGGGTGGTGGCGGCCCCTGCTGGCAGAAGGCGGGGTTGCAGTCCAGCTCCTAGGACCCGCGCACGGTCGGGGCTGGAGTCCTGGGTCCTGGAATTTGCAAACCCGAGAGGGAGGGTGTGTTAGCTCAGGCGCTGTAACAAGTCCCGCGACCGGGCCGCTTGAAGAGCAATTTATTTTCTCGCAGCTTAGGAGGCAGGAAGTTCCAGATCATGGTGCCGGCCAGTGTGGGTCCTGAGAGACAGAGATCTCGCATCTCTTTTTATAAGGACGCAAGTTCTGTTGGATTGGGGCGCAACGTTATGAGCTCATACAACCTTAAGTTTCTCCACAAAAGCTCTGCCTCCGAGCACAGTCACATTTTTGTGGTTTCAATTTTAGGGGTGCGCTTATGAATCTTGGAGGGACACAAACACTCACCCCAGAACCTCCCGTTTTCTGCTGGGCTCTCGGCTTTGCTTCAGGTCTGAGCGTGGTCCTCATTTGCTGGAGCGCCCAGGCTGGGACATGGAATCCATGGCCGGGTTTTGAAGTGACGCGAGGGGCCTGGAACCTTCCCCACCAGCTCTGGGCACTGGCCACGCCAAAGCTGGCCCCTCCCCGAGCTGCACAGCCCAGTGCCCTAGAAAGATCTGCCTCGTTGAGCTTTCCGGGAACCCGTGGCACAGTATGTGCGGGATGACACTGGGCTTGGCTCCCTCATGCACACAGCTTGGGAGCATCTGGAATGTTAGGACTTGTGCAGCAAAGCGGCAGGAGATTGGAGCCCGGGTTCCCTCTGCCTGCCCCCCCGCCCCGTGATTTCTCCCCTGCATGCTACAGTGGGCCCTGTGCCTCATCGTCCCCAGGCCTGACTTGGGGGCTGTGCCTGGCAGGAGGGGCTCCTTGCCTGCTCCTGCCACAGCTCCCTGGGTCCTCCTGGGTTCTCCTCCCTGCCCTGCCGGCCTCCCTGCCCTGGGCTCCAAGACCCTCCCTCTGTGTGCCTGTCCCACCCTGTCAGGAGGAGCTCTGGTCCCCATCACGAGCCTCCAGCAGGGATGCAGTTGGACCGTGAACACAAACAGCCCCAGGACCGGCGGGTGCTCAGGTCATGCTCAGAAATGTCTGAGTGACAGAGCTGAAGCATAGCGTGTCAGCGGGGCCTTGGGGGGATCAGCGCAGACTCGGGGGTGGCTGGGTGGGGAAGGGGCTTCGTGGCTGGGCGACAGCAGATGGTGGCAGCTGGCCTTGGTTGGGCCCAGGCCTTGTGTCTCTGCTGCTCCGCTGTGCACGTGGCAGGTGCAGCCAGGAGACACAGCCGCCGCTGCCACCCTCGTGTCTTTTCTGGGCACGTCCCGCTAGGGCCGGGGCCCTCGGCAGGGGCTCCCCCACCCTGCGCCTCACGGGAGGAAACCGGGTGCTCTCATGAGTGCTGTGTTTTGGACTTTTCAAATGTGCTTGCCTTGAAAGGCACTAAGAGCATCAGCGTGGTCCTAGGGTCCTCAGAGCCCTGTGGCCACATGCCTAGTGTGTGTGGATGCTATGGCTGGGCCTCGGTGCCGCCAGGCCTGCCGCCCCTACTCCCACGTAACCCACCCGGGGGGCTCCAACAGGAGCGAGGCCAGGCCTCTGGGCCATGGTGGCCTCCATGGCAGCCCCACGCCCACGCTAGCCCCGGCCCTACAGGAGAGTGGGAATGTCTGGGCCCCCTCCTCCCACAGCTGGCCTGCTGCCTCCTCCGGGAGCCTCCCAGGCTGCCTGGCCTCTGAGCCCCGGACGCGCTGGCCCTCGGTGATGCAGGGTGGCTCTGGAGCGCCTGTCTACACCCGGTCCTCAGGCAGGCTGGGGACAAGGATCTGGAAAGGGGTCATGGTCCGTGAACCCTGTATATGGGCCGAGAAGTGAAGCCAGGCCTGTGAACACCACAGGAACAGTGTTCCCTCTCAAAGTCCTGCTTCTGGGTCAGAGATGGAAAGGAAGAGGGGCGCAGAGAGTCCTGGAGGGTTTCTGCGGGAGGTGCGCCGAGCCCGATGAGGGTCGGCCCCTGGGCTGGGTCGTCCTCCTGAGCTGTGTGCACAGCTCCTGTCTGTGTCCCCAGCCATAAACTCCTGTGCCTTGGGGAATGGGGGCTGCCAGCACGAGTGTGTCCAGCTCACAGTGACCCAGCACCGCTGCCAGTGCCGCCCCGAGTTCCAGCTCCAGGAGGACGGAAAGCGCTGTGTCCGTGAGTGTGCCACCAGCCCTCAGGAGGGGGCACGGGGGGCTGAGACCCCCACCAGCACTCCCCAGACCCATCCAGGGACCCTGAAGCCTGAGCCTAGGGCAGCTGCTGGCACTGAGGCTGGGCTCGCCTCCCTGCTTGGCCTCTGGGGCCAGAAGCGGGGCTTAGGGGAGGCAGAGCCCCCTTGGCTGCCCCAAGGTGGTGGGGCATCTTCCGGCCCCCCGTGGGTGTGGGGGAGGAAGCCCCTTAGGCTGTGCTCTGGGGTCTTGCATCTGTTGGGGGCAGGAAGCCCAGGATAGGGCATGTGGGGGATGGCAAAGAAGGACATCCTGCGTGTCTCTCAGTTCTAACGCCTGCCCTGGGCTTTGTGTGGGCATGTGGGACCCAGGCTCCGGCCCTCAGGTGGGAGATGCAGGCTGGGCCCCACCTGGCATCTTGCCTTGGGGTCTTGGGGCTTCCTGTCATGGAAGGAGGAGCTTTGCTGATGGAGATGGTGGGGCAGGCTCGGGGGCCCCAAGATGTGGAAACGGGGGGGGGGTTGCTGGGATGGGGCAGGTACTGAGAGGACTCGTCCACACCTGGCCTCATGGGTCCCAGGCCAGGAGGGAGGCTGGTCCTGAGGGGCTGAGCAGTGGGGGCAGAGTGGCATGGGGTTGCAGGGCTGAGGGGCTGCAGGGCACCTTGGCTCTGAGTAGGAGGAGGCTCAGGAGGGAGGCTGGCACCCTCCTGTCTTTGCAGGGGTGTCTTGGGGGCTTCCACATCTGGGAGAGGGGAGACCCCCACTGAGCCCGTTAGACAGGAGCCCAGAGGCACAAGAGCAGTTGGGGGGCTCACGAGAGGCCTGGGGCACCCCAGATCTGCTGGAGCCCCCATCTTCCCTCTGGGCCTGTGACCACAGGGAGAAACCCGTGCGCGGACCGGAACGGCGGCTGCATGCACACGTGCCAGGTGCGCCGCGGCCTTGCCCACTGTGAGTGCCACGCGGGCTTCCTCTTGGCGGCCGACCGCAGGTCCTGTGAAGGTGAGGTGCCCTTCCCTGTGCTCTGGCCCCAGCCTGGGGCCAGCTGTGGGGGGGCCTAGGCCCCAGCTGTTGCTGCACCCGACCTTGAGCGGGGGACGGGGAGGGACGGGAGCCCGGGTCTCATTTCCGCAGAAGCAGGTGGGAGATCTCAGGTCTCAGGTTGTTTCTCAGTAGTTCCTGTATCAGCTTAGTCGGATGTGGTCATCGGGGAAACTGAGAGAGGGCCATGAAGAGAAGGAAAGGAGCATCACTGGGGCTGGCTTCTGGATGTTTCTACGGGTTGTTTGTTAGCATGCTCACTTCGAATTGTCCCAGATCCCAGTTGGGCACCACTTTCTAGAACGCGCTTCTTCATCCTGGGCTTCGGGGGTGTGGGCTACATGTCTGCGGTGCTTATTACCCCATCAAAGGAGTCGGGGGGGGGCCCTTCCTTCCTGTACACGCAGCTCTGAGGAAGGGTCTTGCACGTCCCCGTCACTGTTGGGGTGCATCTAGGGCAGGCGGGGGCCGTTTCCCTGGCGTCCTAGGTGGGAGTCTGAGAGGCGATGCTGCAGGGTGTGGGCCCCCACAGCACCCACACCAGGAAGGAGTGTTTTAGGTGCCGTTGTCCTGGCTGCTGGGGGTGCCGGGGGCTGTGGTGGGCTCAGCAGGAGATGGGGTGAGGGTCAGCTTCATCCCAAGGAAACTCAAGGGTGCGGCCAAAAGCAGTGTCGGGGATCGGACAGCGGGATTTGGGCCTCATGGCCAGTGCTGTGGGTGCAGAGGCCGATGATGGCCCCTGGTGTCTGTGGGCCCCTAGAGGCAGGCCATGGAAAGGCCCCTCCTGTGGCAGGCCCGAGACCTGGCTCAGTGACTGGGGCGGCACAGCTGAGGGAGGTGGGTTCAGAGACGGACCTCCTTGCCCAATGCTGCTGGTCCAGACCTGTGTCCTCCTCACCCTGAGAGGAAGCGTGGTTCTGCACCCGGGTGCTGTTGATGAGAACGTGGATGCTCCGGTGGGCTGCCCCGGTCACGGAGCCTTGGAACAGGAAGTGGGGAGAGAGCCCTGGGTCTGAGCCCTGACCCCCAGTGGGACCCGTCCACACTGAGGCCGCCACCCTGGGGGCCGCACCTCCTAGGCCAGCAGCCCAGAGCCCTCCGCCTCGATCTCTCCCGTGCAGATGTGGACGAATGCGCCACAGGCCAGGCCCAGTGTGCCCACGGCTGCCTCAATACCCGGGGGTCCTTCACGTGCATCTGCCATGCTGGCTACGAGCTGGGCGCTGACAGCCGGCAGTGCTACCGTGAGTGGACAGCGGGTGGGCACTGGCATCCTGGGGTGCGGAGGGTCCTGGAGCCGAGACTCAGTTCCCCAGGCCTCATGGGCGCTGGCGTGCTGAGGCCCGGCTGAGGGGCAGAGCTTTCCTGCCAGCCAGGGATACTGCTGCGTGCGGCGGCTGCGGTGGGCCCTAGGGTGATGCAGATCCGTGGGGGTGGGGGGGTGGGGGGGCAGAATGTTCCAGAGCCCGCCCAGCCCAGGAGCTGAGTGCGGCCCACTTCCCAGGAGCATGGGCCTGGGGGCTGCAGTCTGGCTGCCGGGGCCGGGGGGGCCGTGGGAGGGGGTCACCCGGACCCCGTCCTGCATCCCTGCTGCTGGGTCTCGTGGCAGGCATCGAGATGGAGATTGTGAACAGCTGTGAGGCGAACAATGGGGGTTGCTCGCATGGCTGCAGCCACACAAGTGCGGGGCCTCTCTGCACCTGCCCCCGGGGCTATGAGCTTGACGAGGACCAGAAGACATGCATCGGTGTGCAGTGGCACCCTACACGCTGCCCCCCACGCCCCCCACCCCCCGGGGCTGCCCGTCGGCTTGATGCCATGACTTGGCAGCTCCCTCTGGTTCCCCTCTCCGTCCTGCTCACTCTGCCCTGCACCTGGGGTGGGCCGGGGGTGGGCCCTGCTGAGCACGCGGCACCCACACCCCATTGGCCCCATCGGACCCCCCCCACTCACTGCGTTAAATGCCGCGATTGCTGGGAGTAGCACCTGGACCCCCGGGGCGGGGGGAGTGTGAGGGGGGACCCTGCTGCGAGATGGACTCCCTACCACGTACAGCCCCCAGTCTGGCCCGCACAGCTGCTGGGGCGGCCTGGGGCCCTGGCGTATGTCCTGTGTGTCTGGGGCCAGGGCGGCGTGTGGGTGCGTGTGAGTGCGAGTGAGACCGTGTGTTGGTGGGCGAGGGGGGGCGCGCACGTGGGCGGTGCCAGTGGGCCCTGGTTGTGTCCTGCAGATGTGGACGACTGTGCGGCCTCCCCGTGCTGCCAGCAGGCCTGCACCAACAGCCCCGGCGGGTATGAGTGTGGCTGCTACGCTGGCTACCGGCTCAGCACCGACGGCTGCGGG